AATGGAGATGCTTGCTCAGGACGACCAATCAAGATTGAGACTATCAGGGATGACGACGAGACACCTTCATCTGCGCCTGTACCTGGACAGAAGCCGCTTTCTCTACTCGACCGCATAGCTGGAGCTCCTCAAAGCGCGCCCAAAGCCCCGGCTGCCCAACGTATACCCGCCAAAGGTCCAACGTAAGTTCAGCACCCCACTGCCCTGTCCCAGCCTCTGGGCGTCCTTGCCTTACATTGCCTGCTGCAGACAACCGAAGGTTACAAAGGCGACCCCGAATGCGCTTAAGACAACAGCGGCCCAACGGCCAATATTTGCGGCGAATGCAAAGGCACGGCTGCGCACGAAGAAGGGGCCCAAGCGGATTCAGAAACAGCAACAACGGAAGGTGGTGACGGCAGAACAACTGGACCAGGAGATGGAAGACTATCGTGCTAGCGCAGATGCAGCATGAGACCTCGTTGAGTACTCACGCGACCGAGTCTTTTTTCTCACTTGCTCCTGCTATACCCTGCTCGTGCTCCTATTTGGTCCTGCACATCTCATGCTCGAATCTGCATTCTGTATGCTCTCCTCTGGTTTGTAGTTGTTGCCGATCAAGACTGTTGTACAACATCCTTGTAATATGCAAACATTGCGACCTTGTTGGCCCGCGATAGATACACAAAATGCGATGCGTACGAGAGATCATTGCGTCTTCGGACGGGCAGCCGCAGCCATACCGACAGTCGCCTGCCACCAGATTGCCAGCGTGAGGCCAACAATACCGTGGAGGGTCCCCCAGACGACTTCCGGTGTTGCGCGGCGGCTGGGTGACTGCATCAGGCGCCGCACTACGAGCGTAAGAACAGCAAACGTACGACTCTGCGAAAGCGCCAAACGTATGGGGGATGAAGCGCGGTGCGTTGAAGAGGATGGTCGAGCAAGTGACATGGTAGAAGCAGAGTCCCATGCCGAGGGCGCGCTTTCCGGGAAGGAACTCTACAAGAACAGGTTGTCAGCATATCAGCCCAGCGACACAACGGGTTGGCACACCTGGGAGAGAGAACGCAAGTAGAGCAGCAAGACAGAAACCTGCCACCATTGCCGAATACATCTACGACGCCACAGTTCAACCCCTGATAAACCTTCGAACGACGTGCAAGCAGACCTTCAGGATCACCAGCGTAGTGTTCGTGAGCTGGATGAATGGCAGACTGACCGGACTCCAGAGGCCCATGACAGCGATGGGTGCCTCCAGTGCAATGTGCAGGAGGAAGACCACCGATCTGTCCGTCCCACTCGGTACCTCCCACTTTAATACCAGCAGACATCACTTACAAGGGGTGATTCAACCGTACTACCTGTGGTTGAGACATACTTGCGCCGAGTTGGGTGGTCAGAAGAAAGACGAGAAGACACCAGACGAAAAAGAGACCAAGACCGACGTAAGGCCGCGTCCGCCTTATCTTGTGATGAGGAACCCGTCGACGTCGGGGGCTGGCGGACCGCGTGGCGGCGGTGGCGCAGTGTTATGGGCGTCTGGATCACGTTGCTGTTCCTGCCAGGCACGACTCCATGCCAGATCCAAGATGGCGATCACTTTCTGCAATCGACAAGCAATCGAGATCTCTAGACGATCCTTCCGTCGCAGAGTGTCCTTGGCCTCCCTGGGCCAGTCGGTACCAGCAGGAAGCTGCGAAGTGGGGTAGTTATTGGTTTCAAGAGCTCGCGTTGGAGATGTCGGCAACGCGCTATCCTGTCTTGCGCCTGACTGCCCGCTGCGCGGATTATTCTTTTGCTTTGGATAGATGAAACGGGCGTGCATACGAGTAACGCATTTTTGGTGCGCAAACTTGATTTGCATCCGTCACAACATCCGGAAATCATTATTACTGTATCAAAGACGTGATGATGACAGAGGGCTCGAAGCAGAAGGTAGCCCTTCGAGCTATCAGTTGCTCGCCGCCTCAAATTGCCCTCCACGTCTATGTCAACTTGAACTACAATCTTTATGGGCAACGTTAGAACAGGACTAACACACGTGGGCAAGGCCAGCGCGTTTTCAAAGAGCTCAATCAACTACACCGCATTGTCATGTGCGTGGAAAAGATCAGTGGGGTTGAATGTTGAGTGCGCACTTGATCATGTCTTGACACAAAACGTCGTGGCCACAACTTATGGCAATCCGACCATAACGGCTATCTGCGCCTCGGGAGGAGAGGAGGTCATCATCGCAATGACTGCGCTGAGGTGGTGTAAGAAGTCATGATATTTATTGCTAGGACCATAGATCTGCGAAACAGCACGACAAATTTTGAGGCTTACCTGGCGTTGAGTCGATTCACTTGCGACTCAGAAAATTGCGACTCAGAAAATAACCATAATCGCTGCGAGCATGATCACATTCTCTTCATATCGAGCCGAGAACTCCGACGAATGAGTAAGGCGGCAAGGCAGAAAAACCGCGCGATGCACAGCAGGCAAGGAATCAGCCAGTCTATCTACGACCGCGTCAGTCGATTCTGGCGCCGTCACAAGGCATTAAGCATACTGCACTGATTAAACTTCCTCACCTGCGCCGTGAGCTGAACAATCGTGCTTCGGAGAATGTCCGGAGTCACATGCATACTTCTAGACCGTCTGTTCTCCTAGTCTACAATATGTTCATCTTCTACACGCGTACACGTATCTGGTATATAAGTAGATACCCCCACTCGGGACCCAAAAATAAGTGAGATCATAAATCGTACAAGAGTTACGAGTCGCCACCCTCTTCATCGGCCTCCTCGACGTCTGCCAAGGAGCCCTCGCGAGCAGCGTATGCACGGCCAATCAGAATGCTCCCGACGCTACCGCCCGCTGCCTCCACTGCGTCAAGATCCTTTTCAAGATCAATCTCCTCCTCCCCGCTGTTCTCCATCTCGGGCCCCACAACGAGCCTCAGCCTAGCGACTTCGCGCCGGAGCCTTGCGATCTCCTCGTCGCGCCTGTCCACGCGGACCTTCAGCACCTTGATGTACTCGTTGCCACAACGCAGCAATTGCAACTTGCTGACTCCACGGTTAGGACCCTCGGCGTTGCCTTTGGGTGGGCCGCGCGGCGGCATCGCGCCAGGCAGAATGGGCTCGTCATCAGAGGGCAGGGGAATAGGAGGCAGGAGGATACGGAGATCATCGAATGAGGTTTTAAGCGAGTCGCGTCGTTTTTGCTCGGCCTGTTTGTGCGACGACTTGCGGAACTGAACGACTGGTTGCGTCGCGGATGGTGAGGGGCTCGGGTGGACAACCGCGGAGTTGCCGGCTAGAGCGGAGATGGGTTGAGACGATGTGCGAGTAAGTGCGTCTGTGAGACTTACCTGGGCGGATGGGTTTGAGGCTGGGGCTAATAAGTGGGACGCTCGCAGCTTTATCGGCCGACCTCGTTGACCGTCCGGACTCGGCGAGGGTGGCGGACTTGCTGGGCCCTCTCGCCCGGCTGCCGCCTTCCTTCTTTTTAGGCGCCGCTGGCTCCTGTGCTGCGCTTGGCGGGGCGAAGGAGGAGTTGATCCCTAATCTGCCGAGGTTCATGATACTGGCCGGCGTCACCGGGGTCATTGCAGATACTGGAGGTGCAGCGCCGGACGGCATGCCCATCGCAGAGGGAGCCGTAGATGTGGATGTGAACTCGCGTTCGAGGGTAGACGGAGGGTGAGATGGGTTCGCCGGGGGCGGCATAGGCGGTAGCTCGATGGGCGATGGCGAGTCACCCGGCAGCTCGTTCATGTCGGACACATCCATGTTGATGCCCGGCCGTGCCAGTCCACTGAACAACGGCGTCGAGTTTGCTGAACGCGATCCCCGCATAGCCGCATGTTTCTGGTGAGAGCCGGTACCCTGTCGAAGAGCTCGTACGGACGACTGCCGCTTGCGCATAGGCTTCGGCCTTGACGTATCCTCGTCACCACTAGATGACGCACCCCGTCGCTTGAGCCCCGCGGTACTCCCGCTCTGACCATGGATAGTCTGCGAATTACTGAAAGGTCCGATCCAGGGGCTACTGATGGGCGAGATGTCGTTATACTCGGAGGAGCCCGACGGCATGGACATAGGAGGGCTCATGTCGAAGGCGATGTGTGCGGGTGCCGAGTGAGGTGCGGATGGCATCATCTGGTTAGGTTGCGAGAGAAAATTTGGGAAGTTGGATACATCGGGGGATAGGTTGGGAGGTGGCTGTGAGAGAGTGGACAGGCCAGAGCCAGACTGCAAGAGGAGAGGGGAAACGAAGTCGGTGGTAACTTGCGGACGCAGTTCGTTGGATGGGCCTGGAGGAGATCACTTGGCGCAGTGGTTGAGAGCACAGCCATGCTACGCACCTGGGGTTGGAAGACCATACTGTTGTTGCTCCCGCTGCCGATCTCCCATTGCCTGCCCGGTAAGTGCCTGCCCCCCTGCAAACGCATTTTGGCTACTGAGAAGTTCCAGCTAGAAAGATATAGCAGTAGTTAATCTCGGGTAATGAACCCCAAGGACGGCAGCAGAGCGGCGAGGCCGAAGCCTTGACAGACGGCCGACGATATGAAGCTCACCTGCTGCTGAAAGATCTGGTTTTGGAGTTGCTGCAATTGTTGTAACTGGTTCAGACGGAACTGTTGCTCGAGCAAGGCTTGAGGAGTCGGTTGGCTCGACTGTTGGCCACCTTGCTGCTGAGACGAAGGATCCATGGAGGATATCATATGCTGAAGGGCTTCCGAGCCGAAGTGCAGGTTGGGCATCGGAGGCAGAGACGGCTGAGCTGGGAAGTTCCCAGGCGTTTGAAGACCTGACGAGCGACTGTAGAAGCGCTCTGCAGCATCCCGGTTCGCGTCGAACTGGAAAAAGGATTGAATAATGTCCTTTTGCTGCTGATGCGACATCCCAGAGTCTGCACTCATCGTGGCGAAGAGCACCATCAAGTCCGTCAGGGGCTTGAGGGGTATCATCCAGGGGCGCCCTAACAGTACAAAGTGGATACTATACATAAAGTAGCTATTACTATCATTGTCCTGCATAGCTCAGTTGGTAGAGCGCGTCACTAGTACATCAATATCGTGGAAATAGGTCACGTAATGACGAGGTCAGTCGTTCAAGTCGGCTTGTAGGAATGTCTTTTTCTACTTTTTCAAGCTATGACCGATGTTCGAACCTGTGTCTGTCGCAGATGTTACGACTTTGTACTGTGCTGCACGTAAGCACTGTATGTTACGGTGCTACAGTAGCACCCTCGGGTGGAGGCGGCGGGTTCTAGCCTCTTGGTTTTGAAAGAGCAGGCGGCGAATATTTCAAAGTGCCAGCAACGATCCGCAGGCAACATGACTAGTGTGTCATACTACTAGGGTTGTATGGCTTCATGAGACTGTCGGCTGAAATGTCAATTATCACCGAAATGTGCCATCTAGTGGTGGGGTCGAGAGCACAAGTCGACGACACGTGAGCGGACGCGGAAATGGAAACGGAGGTGGGCCGCAAGGCGCGGGCCAGCGCGGCAAGCGTGAAAAGCGAAACATACCGTCACGGTAGTTTCGACTCGCATCGCGTCGGAAGGGCTGACATTTGATGGCGACGGTTAGTACTCCTCTGGCGAAGAGTACGCAGAGAGGACAATGAGAAAAGGGGGTGTATATACGCTGTGATTGAAGTAAGGGCATGCCAGACACCGCTCGAGGGACGTGGCTCCGAGTCGAGGGCTAGCCTTTTCAAACGCAATCCCATGTATCAAGTTAAACTCACTGGCGGCATGCAGACTTCTGTGCAGCGGAGACCAGTTCAAGTTACTGTCCCAGCACATCATCCACACGCCGGTGGGATGTGTCGACTCGGAGGCCGCAGAGAGGTCGTCAAGCCCTACTTCGAGACTGAAGCGCTGTGCCCTTCTTCAGATATGTAAAAGATGAGGTTCGTTGGCTGTCGGTATAGGCCATATGATGAGTAACTCTCTGTCAACACATAAGGAAGACGTTCAGAGGCTACGACAGAAATCTGGATTAGGTGCGGGATAATATTACTCCTGGACAAAGCTGCTCACCGATGCTGCTCCTGAGCGTCGCGGCATGTCAACCACAGAGACCACCGCAGATTCCCTAGTCGACGTTGGCGGCCCAACGGTGAGGGTAGTCCGTAGCTAGTAAAATGAAAAGCCAGAACATGATGTTTCTTCATCCTTTACATCCAGCTCTGCAAGGGTGCATATGGCCTCGAAATGCGCGAGACCGCTCACAGGTTCAGCCCTACTCCTGAGACGGCGAGCGAGCGCGTTTTCCGACCACCTCGTGTGTCGAGTGAAATTTGAACATTCCGTCTACTCGTCACGGGATAACTGCGGCAGCCCGTGAGAGCGCGGCGAGAGTACGTCGACGATTGGTACGGCCGACAGGCCACGATGTGTATGAGCCACGAAATTTGGCATAGCAACCATTCGAAGACTCGTCGCTATGTCAGCGATGGGCTTCTATTGGCACAGTGTGGCATTGTGAACGACCAAAGTCGTGGCCAACCAAGACAGCAGCTGCCACCTTGTCAGGGGATTGACCATTATGTCAGAATAGCGAGGGTCATATCACAGCCGGATTCGGTGCGACTTCGCGGCTGGAGACTACTGCCCCTAGCCGGTGTACGGAGCACACGTGCTGATAAGAATATCAAATCAGTGCGTAGTACATGCAGGAAGCTGCGTTGAGGCGTACGTCATGATGGTTTGGAATGCAGGTAGAGCGGGGAAGCATAGATCTTGGCACCTTGCGTGGACAGCGCCCTGCTTGATCTGGTGGGAACCAGCAATTCCGTTGAGAAATTATGGTGTTCTGACAACCGCGGGTACCGCCGTGCTGCGACATGGCTGCCAATGCTGGGTCTTTGCAATGAGATCACCGAACAACAGGGCGTCCGTAAGGCGCACAGAAATGACTTGCACACAACAGCGCGCGTTGGTGTCAGGCGACAGCTTGATGATGTGGGCGCAGTGGGCGTGGAGGTATGCTTGTACGGCGCTCATACGGCGGCGCGGTGAATAGCCGAAGCACAACTTCATGATCCTCAGGCAGCGAGCAGCAAGGAGGCCACGCCCTGCCATATGTTTCAGATACACGAGATGGCGACGCATGCCCGTCCTACATGCAACGATTCAGTGCCCTGGAGGATGTCGTCGTAAATAACTCTAGGGAACCTTACCTTCTTCGACGGGCGCTACTCTAGTCACCGTGAAACGGCGTCCCTGGGTAATCTGTAGTTGTCGCAGTTAGGCCGCGCAGACAGTCTGCACTCTGCGGCCGTCAGGTAGAGGCAAAGTACCTACGTGACACCTGCCGACGGCCACATGTATCCGAAAAGGAGGCGCCACTCGTTGACGCCACACTGAAGCATTGAGGTTCGCCGCGTACATCACGAATACACTTACCACGAATACACTGCTCGGAGTACACCGAGGCGACCATTAGAACAGCGCAGTGGTTGTCGGCCGTTTCTCTCCTAGACCGCCATATTGACCCCGCGTGACGTATGGCAGCCGGCTTGCGGAAAAAGGGCGGGTGTAGAAGGACACGCCGGCCAACCCGTCTATTCCAAAGACATGCCGCAAGGGCATACCTAGCGGCAAAGACCGGATGACCCCTTGCAGAAGAGGGCACTCGTCTCAGTGGGGCAGCCGCGGAAGCATCCTCAGTGTCTAGGCCGGGAATCTGCCTTGGAGACTATTCGTGGAGTCAGCCACCTTCAGGAGAGTCTCCCGAAGGATTCCGCAGCTCGTAGAGCGAAGGGCGCAAAGCTGGGGTGTCCTTGGAGTGATCTTGCAGGTACCGACCGAGATAGGCCGGAGCTACAAGATATCTCCCCGTTTATGAGCTTCTTCGATTAAGTTCTACGCCTGAGGTTGACTGTTGTTTGCTGCGGTGAAATAAATTCAATATAGGACATATTGGGTGGCACGGGGCGTGGTTGGTCATTAGTTCAGACACTGATTCTATTGGCCGCGGGATGTCCCAACCGTGATAGCAGATGCGCGTACATGCCGCTGGCCACAAAGGCTCGAGAGCCGCTCAAACGCAGTGGACGGTGGCCTGGTTCAGACTCCGCCAGCTATGCACGAGCGCCAACCGCAGGGGAAATTTTCCTAGCATTAGGGCCTGGCGGATACATTCGGAACACAGGCCGTTAGTGATAAATGAAGGCAATCCACCCTCCCGCAAATCAGGATGGTGGACAGGCCTTGATATGACTAACCGTTTTGGGCGCGGAGAAGTGATACGGGCGGCCACTCAGAATGACGTGGGCTAGAGGGTGTCAAGGCGCCTCGTAGACTCGTGTAGCATTCGCCCCTTCAGGCTCCGCAATCAAGAATGCCTCACTGCGTGCTATTAGGCCGCCCACCCGCACGCGCAGCGCACATAATGGGAGCTCACCGAGAATTACGGAGGACCGCGCGGAAGAAGGCTGCATGCGTGTGAGTACGCTTGACTGTATGCGGCACCGACGAGTCGTCCACTCGCGCTGGGCTGGGAATTTCAACTGCCTCGACCTGGCGATGACTTCCTTGCGTCTCCTCGGTCTAGAGTTTGGGGAGTGCCAGCGTTTAGTGGAGCCCGCCTCGCCCAGTACCCGGACGGTGCCAGCTGGTGCTTCCCAGGGAGTGAACAGGTAGCATTCATGGGGCGAAATACCTGTCAGCGGGGCGACCATTCTACACAATAACCTGCCGCGTACTATTGGTCGGTCTAGAAGAAATTATCTGGACTATAGCAGCTCGATACGGAGGCGGCGCTCGCACTTACTCCATTTAGCAATACGAACGGTTGTACCACGTTGCCCGTGCCAGTGCAGCCCAAGAGTTGTCGGATTGTCCTGGGGAAGAGCACATCGATTGGATGAAGCGGCCCGCGTCGAAGCACGCACGCGGCACGCCCACCTCGCTTGACGATGGCTCGCGAGCGGCGTGGCCGTGTCGATCGGCGCCACCAGCTAAGCGGAGCGCATTGTTCTCGCGCACCACAATGGCATACGGAGAGGAGCTCGAGGCAGACTGAGGACAGAGACACTCGATAGCGCGACGGGGGAGGCTGTACACGGCATGGGTATGAGATGAGCCAGAAAGAAGGTTTGCGGGCCAGCAAAAGCGGAGAACAATGGGCATGCCGTACATGCACTGCCTTCCCCTACCGGATCCGGCCGAGCGCAGACCACGGGCAGGGACTGCATGCTCTCCTGGGAGGACCTTGGTGGACCTGGGGCGGCGAGAGCCTGCGGCACACGAGGGATAAGCTTCGCGATGAGGACGTAGCACTGTGCAGCCATGAGTCAGATCTCTTGGGGCACCAAAGCTAAGTTATCAGGGTCTATCGAATGATGAGATCGCTCTTGTGCAGAGACAGCGGTGGGATACTGAACAATGGAGCGGTAGAGAACATCCGTCATGTGCCGCCAGAACGGGTTGGGCCTCTGATATGAGAGGTTGGTTCCATGACAGGAATGTGCCAAACCGCTGAACCACAAAATACAGTTTGATTGTGTTGTTGCGATGGCCTCTGCGATTATCGCGAACGGATCCTGCATTATCAGCGGGAATGGAGAGACGGCTCCATAATTACATCTAAGGGGCGAGAAGGTGGGGTCGCTAGGGATGATGTAGGCGGCATTGCCTGCGGGGATCGGTGTCGCGAGCGGCCGAGAGAGGGACCGAAGGAAGGATGTGCACCTGCTGGCTTGGGGCGGCAGGGCTCCAAAATAAGCTGCACCAAGCTCGAGTGGCCGTCGGGTTCTCAGGGTGTGTTCCGATGCGCCGTTCCGAGGCAGTCGAGGGCAGTCGCCGCGACGCGCGATACAGGCTCGAAGTGGACGACGACGATCACGCACACATGCCCCGTCAGCGCAGAAGCATGCACGCTCTGTCCAAGCGGGGCATGTGCGTTATGAAATGCGCAGGGACGGAGACGTGTCGGTGCCACTACTAAGTCTGGGAAAGGCAGGTCTGAGTTCCGGCCCCCTTCCTGCGAGTGCCGCGTGGGGAAAGGCGTGAAACCTGAGAAGCATGCTGGGATCAGATGTCGGGGAAATCTGTCATTGGCTGGGAGGGGGGTTGGAAATGCACATTGAATTATAATGGGTGGCGCCCAGAACG